AATATGTAAAAATGGCCTCTGCTGTTTATCCAGATTTGCAACTGAATCATCTATGCCCATGTCGCCCTCCGTTTTGGACAAGGGACACTCAATTTCAGGGGAGGACGTAGGGATTAGGTGTTCTCTGTTCAAACCACATAGAATGACAGACTTCATAACTGTTGGAAACGAGATAGGTGTATCTGAAATAGAGAAGCTTACCCATGGAATGTAGCATACATTATGGCTCTACTTATGTCAACAGCAAAGTGTAAAACAACCAGTTAAAAAGCAATCAGGGTAGGGAATTAGAAAGAAGAAAAAAGTCAGTGAACACCTTTGTGGCAACCAGTACCCGATGGCTGTGTTCAACTACTCAGTTTGCAAATATTTCTGTCATGTCATGAAGGGGCTTAGGATGCAGTTCATGGCTTAAGGCAGGGATGGTGAACTTTTTAGAGCTTTTAGTGATATAAAGAGCCCAATGTGGCCTCTGTGCCATAGGTTCACCACCACTGGCCTAAGGTGTATCACAAATTAAGTTTCAGTGTATAGCCGTTGATGAGTTTTCCGCCATCATGGTGGCGAGCCAATATGGTGTGGCCCACTGGAGGCCATGTGGCAGGCTCCACTTCCTCCTTCCTGGTCATATTACAACTTCCTACTCCCCCCCCCTTTTTTTTTTACAACATCCTGTTTTCCTCTTCCTGCTCCCTGTCCAATCACTGCCTGCCAATTTGCATAGACCATCCCCTAAACCCCACACCCAGCCTGGCCCTATATAGCCAGGCCCTCAGAAACTCCACATTCCTCCTTTCTGTGTGGTCTTCTCTGTGCCCTCAATAAAGGCATGTTTTTTTACTTTGCTCTGTTTTTATCTCTACCGAAAAAACTAACAGTCGTGAGCTACAATTTATTTCTACAGTGCTAACTACCTGCCGAAGAGCCTTAGTCTCATTAACAATTTATTCTGAGGAACACTATCAGACTGAGTTTTCTTTATATGTGCATTACTCTTGATTATAGCCCTGCCTATATTAGATGCTCGATTTGTTTCCTGAATAATACATCTTATTATTCCACATTTCAGAATACATTCATACTATTCAAAAGAATTACTTTCCTCCAGCAGAAATGACTTCTACAAAGGTAGGATTAGAGTAGGACATAGTTGAAACCATAAAATTTCCTACTAAAATTAATTAATAGAACTTCTATTTAGGATATTTTTACCCTTAATTAATAAAAAAATAGAACTTCTAGTAATGAAAATTAGTTCTAACACGTATCTAAAGTGAGCAAGGAAATGGCTATGTTTTAAGTGAATAAACTTAAAGACATATTGTGCATATAATTATTAAGAATCATAGATGGTATAAACTGTCAAAAACAGTTTGTCTTAATCTCAGCTATTCTTTCACAAAAACATCTTGGACTTAGCTTCAACTCCACAGATAACAGTTTATCTTTAAGTAAAGAAAAAAAAAAAAAGGAAGCAAAGTTTAAGATGACTCAGGACAATAAACCCCAGTGGAGGAGAAGACCTTATGTATCCGGACACCTCCAGAAGGTCCATAGGAGTGCCTGCCAGGGATCCCCGGTCTCACATGGGCAGGCACTGTGCATGGGACCTGACTCTGAGTTTTGGGCTCAGTACTTCTGGTTGTTCTATTTCAAGTTCTAAGGACAGATTTTTATTCTTTCTCAACTTAGTTTTCTGCCACCAAGAATCTCATTGTTGAGGGTGAAAAAAAAATAACAGATTTTTTGATTACTTAGAAAAAACCTTTCCCAAGTTCCTAATAAAATCTCATCAATAAGTAGCAATTATTGATGGCAGTTATTGGTAATTATTGATGGCAATTATTGGTAATTATTGCTGGTAATTCTGAGTTCAGGGAAGAGTGCATGCCCAACAGGCACGAGGGTCCACATTCATCCCAGAACTGCAGCCAACCCCCAAAAAAGAAAGGAAAAGAATTTTTTTTATTTAAAGAGAATAAAAAGTAAGAAAAAATTTAAAATGATACAGAATTTCAAAACAGGATGACAGAAAATCAGCAATGGTTGCTATCTCACCCCAGAAAGAACAGCTATCAGAGAAATAAACCAATAGCAAGTGGTTGTGGGGAAAAAGGACCCTTCTCCACTGTTGGTGGGAGTGTAGACTGGTGCAACCACTGTGGAAATCAGTGTGGAGAGTCCTCAAGAAACTAGGATTAGAGGGCCCATTCAACCCAGCTATTCCCCTTCTGGGTATTTTCCCAGAAGAACTGAAAACATCATACTGCAGTAAAGCAGTGCAATTTGTCATAGGAAAATAAAATTTTAAAAGCTGTTTTATTTTCAGAAATGAAGTTTTGCCTTAAGCATTGCATCTCTGCTTCCAACATTCAAACACCACTATTGCAGCTACTAAAGAAGCAACCCCTGCTACCCAAACTCAGTTAATATTTCCTACAACCCCAATTCTCTTCCCTCCCTTCTGATTTTCTTCTTTATCCTGCATGAGCTCAGCACATGCTGAACTCTACCTAAGTGGAATAATCAAGGTTAAGTTTGCTTTTTCTCTGCTAACTTTTCTGGATGACCATAAACACCTACAAAAAAATACACAACAAATATGCTATTTTGTTTCAACAACACAGTATAATACCATTGTACATCATTTCCTTTCTAAAAGTCTCATGTTTTTGCCCAAATGTTACACATAGTCTTCAACACATTTTATTATTAACTACATAAATATTTTAGAGAGTGATTTTTATCATTTCTCAACTCTTCATAAGGACATACTTTTCCTTTTTATTACTATCCCAAGTAAGTGTTGTAATAAGCGTCACTCATTTCTACAGAACATATATCCAAGTATGACCAGATCAATGGATATGATTAGACTTTTCAAAAGTTAATTTATAGGAAAAGATTATCTGGCCAGATGCAAAAAAATCTGTAACAGTGACAGGCATGTGGCGCACTGACAAAGTGTGAGAACCTTAGTTCGACCCCCAGGAATGAGAAAGGAAAAAGAGGAAGAGGCAGGGGAAAGGGAAAGGGAGAGGGAAAAGGAGAAAAATATTACAGCATTCCCATTCTCATTTGAAACAGAAAAGAATATAGACTTCCCCAAATATTAACCATGAGCTATCATACAATATACGTTCTTTTTCTGACTTCATCCACTTGGTACACAAAAAAGAAATCTTATTTTCATGTAAAATTTAATGTCTATGATGAGTACATCTAAGTGAAAAATACTTCCATAAAATCAGTTTGTTTGTACTTTCCTTCTATGAATTCCCTGTACATATCCTGTGCCTAGTTTTCTCATTAGCATTGTAAACAAAGCATTATATCAATTTTGTTAACACTGTTACATATGTGGGGTGTATTGTGATTCAGCTTATCTTTTTACTTTTTCATGTCTTAATTTTGTTTCACTATTAAAATGTTAGTTTTCACACTAAAAATGTATCACTCATTTTACAATGACTTCTGAGTGTCCCATCTTTTTTTTGCGGGGGGGAAGGGGTACCTGGAATTGAACTCAGGACCTTGGGTCTGCCAGACAGGCACTGTGCCACTGAGCCATACCCTGGCCCACCCTTTTAAACGCCCTCCTCACCATTAGTATGTGGGTATTTTCACAATGTTCCTCCAAACATGCTTACCAATTCCATTTTAAAGTCCCATTGGTTTCCCTTTGAGATGTATTTCATACATGTTGTGAGTTAACAACTTTTAATTTTCTTCCAGATGCTGACTCAGGTAGAGGTGAAATCATCAGTATCAAAATACTCACCAAGGAATTAGTGCTAATGTTCTATAGCCTGAACAGGTAGCTAAACTTATAAAAATACATTTTACATTTCAAAATAATTAGAAGAGAAGAATGAACATTCCCAATATACACAGGAAAATGGAAAAGCAAATGCTAATCACACCGATTTTTATCATTGTAGATTATATAATACATGTTCCAAATTGCAATGCTGTACTCCATAAGTAAGTTCAAATGTCACATGTCAATTAAAAATGCTTTTGGTGCCACTTAATCATAGTAAACATTTGAGAAATATATCATTAGTTTAGTGAACAACACAGGGTGCGCTTACACAAACTAAGGTGACTTGGTAACATAGCTGCACGGTCATATATGAAGACTTTTGGAGACCCAAATATTGTTATGTGGCATATTCTGTACTAGGCTCGAGAACATTAATGGTAGTGGAAGATTCAACTTAAAATTCTCTCGCAAATGAACAGCAACTTAAAAGCCAACTGGGGCCTTCTTTTAATTAAAAATTTTAAAGTATAGGAATACTGATTTATTTTTCACATATGCCCAGAAGAAAATTATAATATCTTGGCCACTTAACTTTTAAAAATCATCTACTCCTTTTTATACAAAAGAAGCATGAGTTTCATTAAATAATTTCTTTAAAAATCTCAGATTTAATTTTTATTTGCTTGGCCATTTTTTATGACAAAATAGTGCTGAAGATTACATCAAATTTCAATTAGTTTAAGAAGGAAAGTTCTGGAACATACCCTTCTGCATCTATTTCAGAAAAGCTGGGAAGATCAATTTATCTTGACTTAATGTAATATTCAGTTGCTGTCACTAAAGTGATTTCATTTCCTGTCAATACACACTAATTGTTTAGCTTCCTGTATATACATAGGCAACTTATTTGACTTTACATTTTCTAAAGAATATCTACTTAGCTTCATTCATTTAAGAATATCATCATATCATCAGTAAGTCTACTAAAACTTCACTTATGAGGATGGATTTTTTCACCAATGGAATATTTTTTTCAAAGAAAGCCTCCTAAATCAAGAATAATATTATGAAGTCAGGGCAACTGTAACCATGTTTTAATATTATTTATATAATGAATATCAACATTTTGCTAGAAAATTATGATATCCTTCTAACAATTTAATCACAATTATTCATCTGTAAAGGTAGTTTTTAAAATTTCTTCATACATGTCATAAAAATGGAATATTTCTACCTGTTCTTTGACTGAGGCAAGGATGGCAGAGGTGGTTTCCGTTTCAGAGCCATCCCCGTTGGAGGTGTTTAAGCCGGGGCTCAGAGAGCTGGTCTTCTCGGAGGCTGACGGAGGCTGGTCTGGGACAGGCATAGCTCCTAAAATACAAGAGGACAGGCTCAATGCAACTGGATGTTACCATCACAGACAAACTACCAAACAACTCGAAGGAAAACACACTGGAAAGATGAGAGTTATGAACTGTGAAGACATGATAGGGCTTCTGTTCAGTTCTAGAAGTGGAAAAATGCAAAGGGAGAGAATATTTTCTCCTCATGTCATGCACAAGCACATCTGAGATAGCACACTCTCACCTCTGTGCATTCTCTTTGAGATAAATTGGGGAAACAATGAGAATGAAACTATGCACACAAGTAAAGAGATAAAGAAGTACTGGGTCCAAGAAACTGGTCCTCCTCCAATTTTGTATATCTTTTATGTAAATTTATTGTCTTGTCATCTCTGATTTAAAAGAAAATCTACTAGATATTCATTCATCTTTGTAAGGAAGTTATATGATGTCACAATCAATAGTTTATCAATAACTAATGAGATTTCTAAATTAATGTGTGAAGTTTAATTGGCACTGTAAAATATAGTAAAATAACTCGTCCACCCTGCAAATAGTTACTGAGTTCTTTCTCTGTGACAATCAGTAAAATCAAAACTAACAACAAAAAAAGTCTTAAAATTGTAAAGGCTCATTTTCCATTTACTTTGTCTTACTTTACCTAAAAAAAAAAGCAGAAACCTCAAATTGCATAATCTCCAGTGCATAAATGGACACATGTGTACAGCTGAGGAGCAAACTTCCCAAGTTGCTATGCTCTGTTGTAACATCTTTCTTACTCATAGGAGACTGCTGTGACCTGAATGTTCATGCAGGTCCAATTCATGCACAGTAATCTTACCACCTAGGCGTGAGGGTGTTAGGGAGTGGGGCCATCGGGTGGTGATTAGGTCACTGGGAGACAGTACTTATAACTGGGTTAATGTTCTCATGGAAGAGGTCCAGGAGTGACCTTCCATTTGTGAGAACACCACCAGAAGACACCTTTTATAAACCAGGAACCAGGTCTTCACAGGAATCTGTCACAGGACTTTGTCATATCTGACTTAAAAGAAAATCTACTAGATATTCCTCTTTGTAAGGATGTCATGATCAATAATTTACCAACAACTAGTGACATTTCTGAGACTAATGACATTAACACGAGAAGCCTAATCGGTACTGACAAATACAGTAAATAACCAGTCCACCCTACAAATATTTACCTTCTTCAAATATTTATGATCTTCACTAAACCTGGCAGCACCTTAACCTTGGACTTCCCAGCCTTCCGAACTATGATACGTTAGTCTGAGTGAATCAAGTCCTTTGCTACCTATGTCATCTAACAAAGATCATCAAGAGATTAAGCAACAGTTAACTGAGGGCAACTTTACTAAGGCATTATGGAACGCAATCTCAATAAAAACCTGAGAACAAAACAGAAAAAAGTTATTTTCATGCCTAAAACTGCTATTTTACAGGTCTACCTAGGAACCTCTATGAAGACTAAAAGACATTTCCTTTTTTATTATGTGAGCTTAGTGGGTTTTTAAACATGTGACAGAATTCTGAAAGAAGCTGCTACCCTATGTCAATAGTCATTTAGTTAAATAGTATCATTTAGAGGTAAGGATATGCAAACATAAGGAAGCTCAATTACACTATTTTACTTAAAATACATAAGAAAAAGCTGTCATTCAAGTTTTTCATTCAACATTCCAACTAACTTCTGATTTGTTTTTATTGTTTAAAGTAAGGTGTTTATATCACCACAGGGGTTTATAATAACACTGGGACAAATGAATCAGTTACCAACCGACTCCTTGAGTGTGTCTGAGAAAATAAGAGAACACAATTTAAGCAAAAAGTAAGGATTGAATTAAATATGATTTGCCAAAAATGTTCAGAGTATTGAGCGGATGGAAACTAACAGGATGCAAGACAGAGATTTATGGTGGTGGGCTTGGGAAGACCACGGTCAACTCCATTTATGCATTTTCCTTGCTTTCAAGTGTGGCTTGTCGTTTGATCAAAGCTCTTCAGTTGGGCAGAAAGCAGACACACAGGTCAACACATGCTGTCCCTGGTAGAATGGATGAGGCCTGTGATGTTATATTTAAGGGAAGTTTGAGAGTTGGAAGGGGCATGGGCAAAAAAAAAAGGAAAAGAGCAGCTGTGTGCACACAGTCAACCCCATCACTGAGGTCTACCAGAGCTCTTGCTTCTCTGTCCATACCCATCTCAGTGGCCTCTGGTGGGGACCCTTCCCAGGAGTACCTTCTTTGAGACTGGAGTATCACATACCTACACTATTATGCTAATGTTTGTTCTCTGAATTTCATTCAGTCCATATTAATTCAGGTTCAGGGCTAGTACAGTGTTATCATTCACCTACTTTGTGACGAAGAAATTGTCTAAGGTTTCAGAGTTATGAAGTAATATATGTGGGTCAGGAACTTAAGTTTTCTACTTCATTACTCCCCATTTTAGTGTTATTTGATGTGGCAGCCTATTTCCCATAACCTGTCTGGTCTCCTAAATGACAGTCTCCCAACTAACTTTTATAAAGTAGGCCTTCTAAAAGTATGACAGTGACCTGTCATAATAAAATACGGGCCTAAAGAGGAATAGAACCATAATTTCTCTTCAGGCACTTCACAAATGTGATAAAAAATGTGTAAGGAAGATTCAGGCCAGCTTATCTACCAATTCTCCACGTTCTCCTTTAGCAAGAACAGAAAAACAAGTGAAATCCCCAAGGCTTATCCCCTTAGAGGCACGGCCATCTAAGGCAATACTCAGGCCTGAATGCAAATGAGTTGGAATAATTTCCATGGTTTATAATTTTTTAAATCCAGATTTAATTGAACCACTGCTCATCACTGTGTCTGGGCAGCAGAGACGTCACCTTCCAGTTTCTTCTTAGCTAAGAACACAGAGAAAAGATGGAGGAAATGTGCCACAGACCTGCCACATCTGAGCCCTGCACTGCCTCAGGTTAATGTAAAAAGTTTTAAACCTCCAGACTTTGGGGTAATGTGGCCAAGTACATTTGTCTCAATAAGAGCTAAATCTCTAAAAAACTAGTATTTAATCTGAGCTAAGCCCAGGAAATCTGGAAAATGCAGAGGACTGAACAAACAAATCAAGGAAGAGCACTCATCAGTATTTTGCAACCCCCCGGTAAGTGTATTGCCTTTGACTGGGATTTGGGTAAATTTATTTTTTCTGATGTAATTTATTCTATATAATCATTTTACATAAAAAGAACTAATTTAATCCTCTAGAAAGAATTTTTTCAGCACTATCTCCTGAACAGTTACGGTCTCATATCAAGAGAAAGTACTCTATAATTTAATTGTATAATGAACACTTAGTATGCAATGGTCTGTATAGATCAACATTTGCCTACTTACTGGAAATTTTGATACCATTCTTTCATTTGACATTTTCAGTAGACAAATTCCTAGACGTATAATAAACAGAATGAGAATATATGCATTTTTCAGAGTTCTGATAGCCAAATTATCCTGCTGCAAAGTGGGTCCAACATATCTGCCCATCAGGACGTCAGGAGACTGTCATTTCCTCACTCTGCTATAACAGAGGCCTTTGCCATTCTTTCAGCTGTATTTCCTTATGCTTTGATCAATGTGATACACAAAAATGCCTCTGTGATTTTACTTTGTAAGTGTAGTGGACACCTGTAATAGATTTGTTCCTTTTATATAATGTTCTTCAAATAACCACACAATGTCTGTGCAAGACACCTTTTTATACATAATAGAATTGTAAACTGCAAATACCCAGGGGGTAGGGGTAGACAGACCCATTTTCCACATGAGGTAAAGAGACAGTAGTGACGGAAGATAGCCCTGGATATGTGGTGGGTCCATTCTAGCAGAATTTGACACTAACAGCTGCCATGTCTATAAAATAACAAAGCCCAGCTCCGTTGGGCCACGTTATACCATTCAGTGTCCACATGTGCATGAGCAGTGGTGCACAGTGACTCGTGTGCCCTCAGATTCACAAATGGAGTTCGGCACTAATTCTCAGTGTGACCTAGAGTTGGGGCCTCTGGGGAGGGAATAACATGAAACAGGTCATCAGGCAAGCAAAAGACACAGCCGAGATCTTTCTCCCTCTGCACACAGACCCAGAAAGCACCAGCCTCACCTGAGCAAAACCAGTCCTCATGGCACCTTGATTTGAGACTCCTAGTCATCAAAACCATGGGGAATTAATTTCTGTGGTTAAAACCTGCCAGTCTGTGGTCTTTTTTCAAAGCGACATCTTGAGCAGACTAATACAAGAGGGGTTTGATTATTTTCAGGTTTCTGTCCTAAATTCTTCTGCAGCCAGGGGAGGGTAGAGAAGTGTCTGGACGTGGCAGTGGCAGGATGGTGCTGTTTTCTACAGCTCTTTGTTGATACATTCATCAACAATGAGCTAAAAGTGTCAGAGAAGAGATATGCCCCACCCACCCCCTGCTTCAAATAAGCACATCTGGGTAAATCAAAGCTTACTAAAGGCTGTGTCCCACTGGTGTAAAATAAGCCTGGAGGAACAGTAATAACAAAAATAACCCTCCCACACAAACATCCATAATACTCACAAATGAAGTAATCAGAAATATAGAAAAGTTGGCTGGGGTGACAGTACTAGGAAAGGAAGGGAGCCCCACATGTAGAGCCTACTTTTTAATTTGAACTCCTACATACATATATAGTAAGAGTTTGTGATACCCAGAAGAATACTCTAAACTTTTCTTTCCCAAACACGGGGCACTATATTACGCATAAGAATCCTAAAATCCAATCTGCAGTGTAGAAGGCTAACCTCTCTTGCTTTCAGTTCAGTGACCATATTGGATGTCATATGTTATTGACACTTGCCATCCTGGAGAAAAAGCAACCTATTTTGCTTTAGTTTGAAACAGTGAAACTTGTTTCCCCTTTAGCCATTTCTGCCCAGCAACTGATGACTCTGGCTGTTGTCCACAAAATAATTGAAGCTCTTGGTGTCACATAACTATCCAATTAA